TGATCAGTTCAATAAAGGTAATATACTTCTATTAATAGATTGTTGATACATGCGCCAAGAAACGCCTGAATACTATATATTCGTGAACTTTGAAACCTCAGTAATGATCTATTCAATTCAATTTAGACACAATAAATTAATAGCTTTGATTTTTAAAGAATAAGCAAAGATGAAAAAATTTACAGTTTTTCTACTGTTTCTTTTTTTTTACATAATATTATCTGTACACTGTCAAAATAACGATATTGAAAGAAAATTTAAACCAATTAAACGAGACCCTTTCCCAAATCCGCAATCTCCGCAACGGTCCGGAGTACCTAAATCACCACCGCAAGCTGCGACGCAAGCTGCTCCAAAATCAACTGCCTTAAGGCCATCTCAAAGTTCTCAAAGTTCTCAAAGTGTACCAGCTGAAACTGCCAATTTACCTCCTCCAGCAATACCAACAACATTACCTGCTTTTTCTATCAGTACAAAATTGTCACCTTTGAACTGCATTTATTTGGGATTAATGTTAATTCTAAGGTTCATAATATTCACTTTGTTAGATTTGTAAAGAAATTAGTGCCATATTCATCTTTACGATCTTTGTGTCATAACAGGCACAAGATCATAACCTATAATTGCCCAATAGGCCAATGTTATTAGAGCCGGATTTTTATTTCGATATACCGATACTCGGATTTAACATATAAAATAATTCCGATATCGTTATTTTAAAATTCAACAAAATCATGTGTCACAATAGTACCATAAATCTGTTTTAATTTATTATTGCTAATTATGATTTTGAATCCGTTACACTTAGACAAAAGTTAGACAAAAGTTAATTTTTAAGTTATAAAATTTTTAAAAAAGCAGTGGATCTGATTAAACATCCATTGGATAATCATCTTTGTAGATATTTTTTTTAATATATCCATTGGATCATCTAAAATTACTGTAACTTATCAAGAAATAAATATATGGAAAGTTTAATTAGTGTATGATCGAAATTCTGTTTCGTCATCTTGAACAAAACTTGCATTTAATGAATTTCAGCTTGCTGCTTCATGCTCATGAAGTGTTGTATGAGTGGGAAGTCAATAATTAAGGAGAAAAAGTAAACCGTAGTAGACAGGCGAAGCAAGGGGAAAGACTCAGGATAACTTATGTAATTTATAATATGTATATACAGTATATATTTCGAATTAACAATTTAACTATTTAATGCTCTATATAGTAAAATAAATGAATTAAAGTATATAAAATGAAATAAAATAAAATAAAAATAAAATAATTACTGGTATTTATTTTTAGTAAAAAGTTTATTTCGATAAATTCATCGAGTTTCTTAGATAGTAAACCGGATATAAAAATCCAGCGAATTGGGAAAAGCAATGGGATATCCATGGATCCAAGCACGCACTGATCTCTTATCTCTGGCAGACACCTTTCCGGTTCTGGTTTAAATCCTCAAATTAATAGTTTTATTTTATAATTTTGATATTACCATTTTAATTAGAATTCTGGCCTTATATCCTAATTCTAACCCTAAAAACTAAAAATAATATGTATCCAAAAATTAGCCCAAAAATTACACGTAGCATTAGCTGTGACCGAGATTGGACGTCATTACCCAATCATAAAACCGGTAATAATCCAAGTGACCCGTTAAGACCATAATAACCAATTAAATCAATCAATATAACCCTTTTTTTCTATTTTTTACTTAACGGTATAACGGTTATAATTTCTGAATGGTTTACGTACTCTTTTTATAATTAAATTATTAATGTAAGTGGGAATAGAATCATAATAGAGTTGGGAATAGAATCATAATAGAGTTCGGAATCCACTTAGATTAGAATGAAATAATTATACTAAAAATCCCAACCCTACCGAATCAGCTTAAATTCTTAATATCAATTTGTGCAAACTATCCAATTAGAATCCATTCAGTGACTTTATATTCACCAATACCCTTATTTCTATTTGCCCATCCTTTTGGCAACTAAAATTCAGTAGATCAACCAATTTTTAGATTATAAAACTAAGGGTCAAATATGCCCGGAGTTAGACCGACATTAAGCAATAATACCAAACAACTATACTATGGCATCTGGGCAGCTTTATAAGCAATTTTTAAACTCATTGCAAAACAATCATGTAAAAAAATCTATTCAATCGCAAAAAACCAATCTTAAAAAAATTCATCATTAGAAGTTCATCGTAAAAGAAAATATCCATCGTAAAAAAAAAAAATCCCTCATAAAAAAACAAGAGAAAACATTCCGCCTAGTTAACATATACTCATATCACTGTCACTGAATATATTCATATATCATCTTCGACTAACGTTAAATGAACATTGTTATCATCAAAGATTTCAATTTTGTAACCTAAATAGTATTTAATACAGCCCCTTCATATTTTTGGATTACAGTTTCAAGAATCTAAAAATAATAACCACAATTAAGATCATTTAGCATATTAAATAATTTATATCTGCCATGTCAGTAACAATTTTACCTTTTTAATCTTCTGTATTAACATTATTCCTCTATTTTGTTCTAAGATTTGTTCAGAGAGTTGCTTGTTTTCTTCTTCTAAATTCCTAAAGCTTTGCATTGGTATTACATCTATAGCACCATCTATATTATTTATTATTTATATTATGTAATTGTCTTTGACAATTTTTTGTAATTGCTTTAATTTTGCCAAAAGCTTAATTATTCTCACTTTTAACTTCAAATAAAGTATTTTTAAGAATTACTTCATATTTTTTTAATAATAAATTTTCAGTTTTAAGTTTATCTATAGCTTTAAACCAATAGAAAAAATTAATAAATCATCTTAAACAATAATTTTTTTTTTGCTTAATTAATTCAATGTTTTGTTATATTGAACTTGTCTGTTTTAGTAAACTAAAATTTTATTTTCAAATTATAAATTATTATATAATAAAAATTATAGTAAATAAAAGAAAACAGATTTCATATTGATAGTAATTTTAAAATTTACTTGTCTAAAGATCTTTAATATAATATGAAATTTTATTTATATAGAGATTTATTTCTGTACAATC